AAAAAAAAATCTTTTCTTTTGTCTCTTTGAAAGAATATCACTCTAATACAAAAAGCTGTCATATTTCCGAAAATTCCAAAGTTTCGAAAGTTTGCAATTGTAAAAATTTTCAATTGGAGTCTTATTTGTTTTATGATTTATTCAGAAGAACGTGTATATATGTATATATAAAAGATATATGTATATAAAAGAAAGTAATGCATTTAATTTACTTACGCTAGCAGAAAGTGTGCAAATAAAGATCACGAGATACCACTTCATTTTTCGAAGTCACTGTTGCAAAGCCAATGAGAAATTCGGTGGAAGGCTCTCTGAAAGAACGAGCAAACTGTGTGTTAAGCGATTGCGAGGTACTTACGCTTATACTTGTCGTCGACCATGAAAACGGCACCTCAGTTGACAAACATATCAGATTTTAACCAAAATTGTTTGACGCGTACACATTAAAAGTGAATCAGTCAGCGAAAATGAAACAACAACGTGACAGACGACAATCGCCGGGCATGACGGTTTTGGAACAACATAATTCTGTTTAAATCACTTCAACAGGATGTAGATAAGAGAACATTTTCTTTATTAGACGACAAAGAGAAAAATAAGGAAAAAAAAAAGAACAGACACGTAGGAGAAGATAATTTTTGATAATTGTGCTTTGAATAATAATCAAGATGAACATCTTAATTTCGAAGAGGAGAGTATCGTTAAGTTATCCTGCAATTTTTAAAAATTTGTCGTCACCTATCCTTTGTTTAAACGATAACGATCGCGATAAAAACGCATCAGAGTTAAATTCTGAATTTATTTTTTGACTCTTTTAAAATTTCACACTTTTTCTATATTAAAAATTAGAAATCACTCGCATGATCTCTAAGAACACTAGTTTTCGGATGATCGTTTGAAAAATGGTACGATATTAAAAATCGAGACGGTTAAATCAACAAAACTATCATTTACAGTGATTATTCAAAAGACACTGAGACGCTAATATTCGCACCAGAATACTTTTTAAATTTTTCTTACAATAGTTGCGATTTTGATAGAAATTGACTCGAACATTCGACGAGCTTCGATATTTTCTGGAATCGTGATAGTTGGCCCAGCCTGAGAGTGGTCCGTGCAGTTCCATTAATAAGAATGAGATTAAGCGAAGCCAGTGATTCGCCACTCACGCAGAGACCGCGGCAATCCGCTTATGAATAAACAATGTAGCGTTAACGCGTTATGAATAATTAACCTGCACTCGAAGCACGAACGCTTTGTGCATTTCAAACGTGGAGCAAGCCGATGCTTTACGGCCACCCGGTAGACGCACGCGAACCTGTGCCCATATGCATGATTCACGTTGAGAACTGATGCAAAGTGATCGTGCATGGAAATCCTCCATTTCGAAAGCGACGGGAGACGAATATATTTGCTTTTTATCTTCTTCCTTTCTTCCTTTCTTTTTTTTCAGGCACTGTATTAAAAAAATTTAAAAAGTGCAGATATATAAGTATTTTTCATTTACGTGAGAATCATGCCAATTTTTGTTCTTTTTTTTTCGTTTATTAGACAATACTATAGTTTCACGCAAAGTTTATTTCAACTGAACAAAAATGTACAATATTTGCATAAATAATATTCTTTTTATTAGTTGATAATCGGACTTTATAGTAAGATAATAAATATTTATGTAGATAATACGCAGAATGACGTGTGACATTTTTCAGCTGGATAGGTCCTTCTTCATTTTATATTTTGAAGAACTTTAAAAATTCAAAATTTACGTAGTACGGCCCACGAGAATATTTAGAATAAATGTTGCACTTCAAAAGGGAACCGTGAACAACAAAGTTAAGAAAGAAGAAAACCAATGAAAATTTTCGAATTATTTTTCCTATCATCTCACGAAGCGCAAGGTCGTCAGTTTCAAAGTATCTTCTTATCAAATTTAACGATTTTATATATATTATAAACTTCGTTTCGTACCCATCGCCGTTCTTCATAATCCACGAAAATTGTCTATTCTTCGATTCACAGCAGGTTGCGTAGTCAAACGACGTGCAAGGATCGCGTTAGCGTAAGCGGCTCACGTTGTGAGGCGGTATAATGTCGCCCGTAATGGTCCGAAGTTGTCTGGCATACAGGATGGAATAAAGTTACGGCGACCTTACGCGACAGCGAAGAACACGACGCGGGGAACACTTTTGCAAATGGTCGGCTTTGCGAACGATTACACGCGCCGGTTACCTTTCCAAAGTTGGCTTGCGGATCAACTCGCGAAACTTCAGATCGGATATGGTATATTTCTCGCTCGAGTCGCGAACTTTCTCGTTCTCGGTGATCGTCGATCGATCGGATATATCACCGACAGTCGATGAAATGAACCAATCGACCACTCTGATAGAAAAGAGCAAACTCAGAAAATTGAATCGTGAACAATTCAACTCTTTGAACGTATTTGGATAGCTTATTAGAATATATTGAAAAAAATATGTCATTCTCAATTTGTTTATTAAATGTTTTAGACTTTTGGTAATTTTAAGGAACGTGCAATTTCTTCATGTTTTGTGCTATGAAACATGTGGGAAATCATGAGAAACGCAGAGAAACATGCTTTGCAGAGCTTTTTCCCTAATAATTGCATGTGTGTGATAAATTTTCAAACACAGAATAGACGAGCGAACTTGTAATCCTGTCCCTTGTTTAAGTTCTTTCCATCAATTCGCTTTTAAGATACATTGTTTAATTAGGTCCTCCTTATTATTGAGAAACTGTATTCATTTCGAAAATACTAAATAAATGTCTGTCTCATTCGGAATAAAATTACATGCAATGACTTGTCGTCAAACTGTTGAAAGTATCAATTGTGAGAATGTTCTAACAACTTGTGACATTCTAATAAGTCGTAGGTTAG